TGGCCGCGATCTCGACCTGACCGAAGCCCTGGTGGAAGAACCGGCTACCCTCCGACCGCGAGGCGTAGGCCAGGAAGGGCGATAGGTACCAGGTCTCGTTGGTGAAGTCGGTTTCGGTGAAGAAGTTGCTGAGCGAGGCGTACGGCGTCGCGGCGTTGGGGTACGTCAGCACAATGTCCTCGACGTCCACCGTATAAAGCACGTCCTTGGCCGTGGGCGCAGTCACGCCCAGGCCCGCCGAGAGCACAAACCCTTTGTGCTCGGCGAGCATCACCTTGAAGATTGCGGAGATGTTCGCCAGCTCAAGCTCGCGCCCGCCGAGCAGTTGGAACGTGTCGGGGTCGATGAAGCCATCAAAGTCGGAGTCGATAATCGTTGTGGTGGGGTTGGAGGTCAGCCGCTGGTCGAACGGGACCCGGAGCTCGACGCTGCAGAACCCATCCCCGAGGGTCTTCTCCATGCCGAGCGTGTGGCGGTCGACGTTCAGGTTCTGCATCAGCGTGAAAACCTTGCCCGGCGTGGCGTTTTCAAAGTGCCGGTAGCTGTAGTAGACCCGGTCGCTGGTAAGGGCGCGATTGTTCTCGGCGATGTTCAGCCGGCTGCAGGTCAGCGTGGGGTGCGACAGGTCGCCCTCAATGTAGCCCGTGGTGCCAAACGACAAGCAGGTGCCGGCGCCGGTGTCGCCGATCATGTACGGCACGCTGGCCAGCCCCGAGAACGCGGTCGCCCGCGCGGCGCCGCTCCGCAGCACCGTGTTGGAGAACCGGGGGCGATTGGACTGCGACGCCGAGAACCGGTTGGTCGGTGGCGTAGCCGGCGTCGCCGCCTGGGCGGGCAGGACGTAGGGGTCGTCGTGGTTGGACTTCCACCCCACCCCGCCCCAAACGGGTTCGGCATCGTCATCGGCCGGGTTGCAGAGCTCGCCGCTGCCGAGATCGGTCACCTCGACCCGAGAGCTGGCGGCGTCGGCGTTGACCGACGGGGCGTCCGCACAGCACGCCACAGTGATCAGGGTGGACAGGGCGAAGCAGGTGATGGGCTTGACCATGGGGCGGGCAGCCAGCAGGTTGCGGTCGGGGGTTCGGCGAGCGTCTCCTGTTTCATCGATTGCATCGCGTGCCATGGTCGACCCGATTGTGCGGGTCGGAGCCAAACCATCTTCGGCCCCTGGCGCCTTATTACGGTTGTCCGATTCATGCCGCGTTAAGCTTTGACGATTCGGAGGGTTGGAGCGAGTCGCTGCGGGCTGGTCGCCGCTAAGCCAGGGCGCCAGCGGCCGCCCGGCTCAGAAGGGCCGCTGGATCTGCAGGTTGTACTCGAAATCGAACGCCCGGTTGTCGCCGGTCCGCAGCGGCATGGTGAACCCGTTCGTGACCTGGGTCCCGTGGAGCCGGGCCGAAACGCCCAGCACCCCATTGAGGATGTCGACCCGGCTGTTGAGGTTGCCTATGACGGGGTCGAACGCGTCGAACGCGCCGGTGAAGTCGCCGGAGGGGTCGACGCCGACAAAGTCGAGTGGGATCCCTGCCAGCTTGGCGTCCTGAAGCGGCGTGGTGTAGTGGATCTCGGCCATCGCGATCAGTTGCTCGAAGAAGCTGTGGTTGTCCGACTCGTCGATGATGAAGTAGCCGCCGCCCAAGTTGACCCGCATGAGTGGCTGGGCGTGCAGGTCCCGCAGCACCGAGTTGAGCACCTGCCCGTCCAGCGTCCAGATCGCGCCGAACGCGGGGTTGACCCCGTCGTACGACACCACCGAGGCCGATCCGTTGTCGCTAAACCGCACCCGCATCGGGTTCGTGGGGATCTCCACCTGCAGGAACCCCTGCTGGAAGAAGCGGCTGCGGTGTCGCCGGTTTGACCATGCCAGAAACGGCGAGACGTACCACGACTCATTGGTGAAGTGGGAGTCGAGCTGGAACGTGCTGAGCGTCACGAACGGCTCGGGCAGATCGAGGTAAGTGAACCAGAGGTTTTCGATATCGACCGAGTGCCGCACATCTTGAGCAGTTGGCGCCGTGACGCCCACGCCGGCCGAGAGCAGAAACCCGTTGTGCTCGGCGAGCATCATCTTGAAGATGGCGGAGATGTTGGCCAGCTCGAGTTCTCGCCCGCCAAGCACAGAGAAGTCGCCCTCCAGGATGCCGTCGAAGTTGCTGTCCACCGCCCGGGTGACCATGTTGGAGGTGATCCGGTCCTCGATCGGTACACGCAGCTCGACGCTGCAAAAGCCGTCCCCGAGCGTCTTTTCAATGCCCAGCGTGAAGCGGTCGATGTTGAGGTTCTGCGTCTGCTGAAACACCCGCCCCGGTGAAGCGTTGTGAAAATGCCGGTAGCTGAAGTAGGCGCGGTCGCTGACCAGCGCGCGGTTGTTCTCGGCGATGTTCAGCCGGCTGCAGGTGAGAGTCGGGTGGGAGATATCCGCCTCGAAATAGCCGATCGTGGCGAACGACAAACACGTGCCGGCGCCCGTGTCGCCGATCATGAACGGCACGCTGGCGAGCCCCGCGAAGGCGCCCGGTCCGGCTGAGCCGGTTCGGAGTGCGGTGTTCGAGAATCGCGAGCGGCCGTTCTGCGAGCGAGTGAAGCGGCTCGTCGACGGGGACCGCGGCTGGGTGGTCTGGGCCGGCAGCACGTAGGGGTCCGTCAGCGGAGCCTCCAACGCCCCCTCCCCCCAGACCGCCGGGGGGAACTGCAGCTGACCGCTATCGTGGATCAATTCTGCCCGGGCGTGGTCGGGCGTCTCGGCGGCCGCAAGCGGGGCGACGCCCCCGATCGCGGCAAGAGCTAAAGCTAGGAGCGGCTTGACCATGGCGGAAACGTGTCGATGGGTGGGCTGATTGAGGCGAAAATCCGGCTCGTCAGGTTCCTAATCGATTGGATGCTCACGCCCTGTCGACCCGATTGTGACGGATGTGCCCCAGCTTTGCTCACGTCGCGCCGGGTTGTTACAGTTACCGGGGTGGCGCGGTGGCAAGAGTTGCCGGTTGCCGGGCCTGAACCGGATGTACGCGTTGTACCGACCACCGCAGTCCAAGGGCGTTTCACCCACCGATGAGCTTCAACCTCACTGGCGACGCGATCCTCTCGACCCGGTTCACGCTCCGCGTGTTTGAGGCCCACCAGCTTGTGTTCGAGATGGACTTTGACGGACCGGTGGAGCTGGGCCGGCAGCGGTCCGGTGAGGCGCGTCCCTACCACCGTTCGCACCAACCCGAGGCGACCCGCGTGGTGGTTGCGCCGTTGGCCCAGACGGAGGTCTCACGCGAGCACGTGCGGCTCACGCCCGCGGGAGACGGCGGTCTGGTCTGCACGAACATCAGCCGTTCGGCGTCGATCGTGGCGCCCGGCGGGCTGACGCTGGGTCCCGGCGAAACCCAGACCGTGGAGCCCCCGCTGCTGCTGACTCTGGGCGACCGGGTCGTGCGGATCGAGCGGGAGCGCGAGGACCAGCAGTTCGAGGGCCTCGGCGCCAAGACGCAGGCGCCCGGCTCGGACTCCGCCGAGCCCGAAAAGCTCCGCGACCTGATCGAGAACGCCGCCGGCGAGAGCGACGCCCAGCACCTGGTGGCGTGGCTGCGGGGGGTGATGAGCGTGTTCCAGAGCGCCGCGTCCCAGCCCGATTTTTTGAACCAGGCCGTGACGGCGGCGGCGTCGATCGCCGACCTCGACGCCACGAGCATTGTCGAGTGGACCGGAGGCGATTGGCGCGTTTCTGCCGGGCACGTGAAGGCGGACTCGACGCACGCCTGGCGGCCGAGCCGACGGATGCTCGACCGCGTCCGCGAGGGGGGGATGACTTTCCGCTCGCAGCCCGGCGCACAGCTGTCCGAGACCGGGGTCACTCGCGCCGAGGTGGCGGCCATCGTCGCGGCGCCGATCCTCAACGCGCAGGGCGAGGTGATCGCCGCGCTGTACGGCGAGAAACGCCGCGGCAACCTCCCGGAGGGCTACGTCATCTCGGAGCTCGACGCGATGCTGGTCGAGCTGCTCGCCTCGAGTGTCGCGGCCGGGTTGGCCCGCCTGCAGCAAGAGAAGGTGGCGGTCGCCGCCCAGGTTCAGTTGGAGCAGTTCTTCACGCCCGAGCTCGCCCGGACGCTCGCCGCCCAACCCGGCCTGCTCGAGGCCAAGGACATCGAGATCAGCGTGCTGTTCTCGGACCTCTGCTCGTTTTCCAGCACCACCGAGCGGGCGGGCGCCGCGACGACGCTGGAATGGCTGCATGAGGTGATGAGCGTGCTGGCCGACTGCGTGCTAGAGGAGCAGGGCGTGCTGGTCGACTTTCAGGGGGACGGCATGATGGCCATGTGGGGCGCCCCCGCCGAGCAGCCCGACCACGCCCAGCGGGCCTGCCAGGCGGCGGTGAATATTCTCCGCCGGCTGCCCGAGCTCAGCGCGAAGTGGGAGCCCACCATCAAGAGCCCAACGCAGGTGGGCATCGGCATCAACAGCGGGGCGGCCCGGGTCGGCAACATCGGCTCCCGCCAGAAATTCAAGTACGGCGCGCTGGGGAACATGGTGAACATCGGCGCCCGCGTGCAGCAGGCGACCCGCCGCATCGGCGTCGATCTGTTGGTGACCGACGCCACCGCGCGGCTTGTCTCCGACCGATTTGAGTGTCGGTCGCTGGGCCAGGCGCAACTCAACAACATCTCCCAGCCGATATCACTGCACGAGCTGCCCGTCGAGCCCGACGGCCCGTGGCGGGACTCGACCAGGGCCTATACGGAGTCTCTGTCGCTTTGTCAGCAGGGTGACCTGCACCGCGCCGCGGCGTCGCTCACCCAGGCGCTCTCCGCCCGCCCGCACGACCAGCCGACGCTGATGCTGCTGTCGCGGGTGATCGAAGGGATCCGGGGCGGCGGCGGCGGGTTTGAGCACGTCTGGGACCTCAGCCGCAAACCGGTTTGACCCGCGGCAGATTGCGGCCCTGGGGCCGCTGGCCTAAGATTCAGGTCTCGTGAGGTGACCCCAACGCCACACTGTACCCAGATGCTCGAGCTATGGCGTTCTTGAAGATTGTGACCGGTATCTCCCCCGGCAAGACCTTCGATCTGCTGAGCGACGAGTCGGTCATCGGCCGCAGTTCCGACTGCGAGATCGCGATCGACGTCGCGGCGGTCAGCCGTCGGCACGCGTCGGTGCTGCGGGAGCGGGGGCAGTTCCTGCTGAAGGACCTTGGCAGCCGCAACGGCACGCAGCTCAACGGCCAGGCGGTCGTGGCGCCGACGCCGCTCCGCGAGGGCGACCAGGTGACGGTCTGCGACCAGGAGTTCGTCTTCCACGCCAACGCGCCCAACAGCCTGCTGGGGGGCGACACCACCTACCTGGGCGACGAGTCATCCCTGGCGCAGCTGGTCAACGACCCTGACGAGAACGCGGGCGCCAACGTCATGGCGACGCTCGATCTCGGGCCCGGGTCGAAAAGCTGGTCGATGTCCGCGAAGCCCGAGGTGAAGCTCGCCGCCCTGGTGGAGATCTCCAACAGTTTGGGCAAGGCGTTTTCGGTGGAAGAGATCTTGCCGAAGTTGTTGGAGAGCCTGTTCAAGATCTTCGTGCAGGCCGACCGCGCGTTTGTGGTCATGCGGCCCGCGCCCGACGCGCCGCTGGTGCCGGTGTCCTGGCGTTGCCGCCGCAAGGCCGACAATGAAGAGGCGCCGCGGCTCAGCCGCACCATCGTGGAAAACGCCATGAACTCCAAGCAGGCGATCCTGTCGGCCGACGCCGCTTCCGACGAGCGGTTCGGCATGGCCCAGAGCATCGCGGAGTTCGAGATCCGCTCCATGTTGTGCGCGCCGATGATCGACTCGGACGGCAACTCACTGGGCGTCATCCAGGTCGACACGACCAACCAACGCAGTCGCTTCATGGACGAGGACCTGGAGGTGCTGGCCGGCGTCGCGTCGCAGGCGGCGGTTGCGATGGACAACGCGATTATGCACGAGCAGGTCGTCGCGCAGCGGGCGCTGCAACGCGACCTGGAGCTGGCCGCCCGCATGCAGCGGGCGCTGCTCCCCTCGCGCGCACCGGAGGCGGAGGGTTACGACTTCTTCTCTTACTACGAGTCCGCCCGCCAGGTCGGCGGCGACTACTACGACTACATCCAGCTGCCCGACGGCCGGTTCGCGGTGATCGTTGGCGACGTGGCCGGTAAGGGCGTGTCGGCGGCGATCCTGATGGCCCGCCTGTCGAGCGACGTCCGCTTCACCCTGGCCAGCGAGCCGGACCTGGCGAAGGTGGTGATGCGGGTCAACAAGCTCTTCGCGCAGCAGGGCTGGGACGACAAGTTCGTCACCATGATCTTCGCCGTGGTCGACCCCAGAACGCACGAAATGACTATGGTCAACGCCGGGCACATGGCGCCGCTGCTCCGCAGTGCGGGCGGGATGATTGAGGAGATCTCGGAGGAGATCTCCGGCCTGCCGATCGGCGTCTACGAGGACTACGAGTACGAGTCGCTGACCCGCACGCTCGCCGCCGGCGACGTGCTGACCGTCTTTACCGACGGATTCAGCGAGGCGATGAACTCCGACCGCGACCTCTACGGGCTGGAGCGGCTGGCCAAGGTCGCCGCGGCGGACGCGGCGAACGTCAGCGAGCTGGGGCAGCACATCCTGGAGGACGTGCGGTCGTTTGTGGACGGCTTCGCCCAGAGTGACGACATGTGCCTGGCCTGCTTCGGCCGCAACCCCGCGTAACCAACGTACCCACTGGCGTCGCATTGGCTTCTAGCAATCCATCCCCGGCGGAGCTGCCGACGGCGGTCGTTGTCTTCGATGGCGGCCGCCCCCACCTGCGAGAGCGGGCCGAGGCCCTACTGCCCGAGCTCCAACGCTACTTTGCGATCACCTCGGTGCAGGACGACCTGGACGAGGTGTTCCACCCGGAGGGCGCCCAGTTCGCGGTCACCCTGGGAGGCGACGGCACCATCCTCCGCACCGCAAAGCTGATGGCGGACCAGCAGCTGCCGGTAGTGGGGGTGAACCTCGGCAACCTGGGGTTTCTGGCAGCCCTGCAACCCGAGCACCTGGACGCCGCACTCCCGGAGCTGGCCGCCGGACGGCACACGCTGATTGACCACCTGATGTTCGAGTGCGAGCTGGTCGACGGCCAAGGCAGTTCGACCTCGCGGCTTGGCCTGAACGAGGTCGCGGTGCTGGCCGGGCCGCCGTTCTCGATGCTCGAGGCCGAACTCTACGTCGACGGCGACCTGGTCGCAACCTACAACTGTGACGGGCTTATTATCAGCACGCCCGTGGGCTCCACCGCCCACAACCTGGCCGCCGGCGGTCCGATCCTCCGCAAGGACCTGCAGGCCTTTGTGATTGCGCCGATCAGCCCGCACACCCTGACCAACCGCCCGGTGGTCGATTCGGCAGACCACGTGTACGAGGTCGTGGTTCCGAAGCCCAATGACGGCACCGCGTTGCTGGTCGATGGTCAGGTGGTGGGACCCCTCACCCCGGGCCACCGGGTGAGGGTCAAGCGGAGCCCGTCGGTGTTCCAGCTAGTGGAGGTCAGCGGCCAAAGCTACTACAAGACGCTGCGCCACAAGCTTGGCTGGGGCCGCCGGCCGCGCGACCCGCAGGACGACGGCGGCTGCTAGCACGGCGCCGCGGCGCCGGCAAACTGCTCTAAGCCAGGCGGCGGCGATCGATTATCTTAGCGGCCCTCGCACGCACGCCCCCTCATCCTCAGGAAGGAATCTCAGGATGTCGTTCCCCGGACCCGCCGCTCGTTTCGCGCTGTCGACCTCGCTCCTCCTGCTTGCCGCCCTGCCCTGCCCCGCGGCGGGCAAGGACGCGCAGAAGCACACGCTGCACTACAAGTTCGAGATCGGCGACGTCCTGCGCTACGACATCGAGCACGACGCCCTGATCCGCTCGACCATGGAGGGATCGACCCAGAAGGCCCAGACCCGCAGTCAGTCGGTCAAGGCGTGGAAGGTGATTGACGTGCTGCCCAGCGGCGAGATCGAGCTGCAGCACGTGGTTGAGGAGCTGCAGATGACCAACCGCCTGCCGGAACGCTCCGAGGTGAGCTACGACAGCACCAAAGACAAGTCGCCGCCCGCCGGCTTCGAGGACGCCGCGAAGGCGGTGGGAGTGCCGCTGAGCCACATCCGCTTAACGCCGTGGGGCAAGGTGGTGGAGCACGAGATCAAGCACCACCAGCCCGCCGCCGACCCGTACGCCCCGCTCGCGGTGCTGCTGCCGGAAGAGCCGGTCGCGATCGGCGAGTCGTGGGATGAGCCGGTGGAGATTAAGGTCAACCTGTCGGAGGGCGGCTCCAAGGCCGTCACCACCCGTCGGCACTTCCGGTTGGCGAGCGTCGTGAACGGCGTCGCGGTGATCGAGTCCTCGTTCCAGACCCTCTCGCCGGTCACGCCGGAGATTGAGGGCCAGCTCGCCCAGCGCTACATCGAGGGGACCGTGCGGTTCGATATCGCCAAAGGCCGCGTCCTCAGCCAAGAGTACGAGGTCGACAAGCGGGTCCTCGGCTTCGCCGGCCCAGCCAGCAGCATGCACTACAAGATGCAGATGGTAGAGCGCCTGCAGGAGGGCGCCGCTGTGGCGAGCCGCCCCAGCAAGTCGGACGAGAAGTAGCCGTCCCGCCTGCGGCCTCCCGATAAACTGGGGTGGCCGTTCTGCGCAGATGCGAGGAGCGGTGTGCTAAATAGGGCCTCGACTTCGAGGGGTGAGTCTGGGATTCTGGTGGGCTCCCGACGCGCGGCCGTCACGCGCTCATTCCCCTCGCCAGTCGCCCACCGATGCCCCCGATGACGACGACCCACAAGACGCTGCCGATTCCCGAGCAGACACTCCAGCGGCTCGCCGCCGAGACTCCCACGCCGTTTCACGTCTACGACGAGGCCGGCATCCGCCGCAACGCCCGGGCGTTGCTCAAGGCGTTTAGCTGGGCGCCCGGCTTCCGCGAGTACTTTGCCGTCAAGGCGACGCCCAACCCGCACATCCTCAAGATTTTGTTCGAGGAGGGGTGCGGCATGGACTGCAGCAGCCTGGCCGAACTGGTCCTCTCCGAGCGTGTCGGCGCCGGTCCGGAGGACATCATGTTCACCTCCAACAACACGCCGGCCCACGAGTACCAGAAGGCCAAGGACCTGGGCGCCATCATCAACCTGGATGACCTCACCCACGTGGAGTTCCTGCGGGACAAGGTCGGCCTGCCGGAGCTGATCAGCTGCCGGTACAACCCCGGCCCACTGAGCGAGGGCTCGGCGATTATTGGCAAGCCGACCGAAGCCAAGTTCGGCTTCTCGCGGGAGCAGCTCATCGAGGGCTACGCCAAACTGAAGGAGAACGGCGTCAAGCGGTTCGGCCTGCACGCGATGATCGTGTCGAACGAGCTGAGTGAGGACGCGCTGGTCGCCAACGCGCGGATGCTGTTCGAGCTCGCCCTGGAGATCCACCAGAAGACCGGCGTCGCGGTGGAGATGGTCAACCTGGGCGGCGGCATCGGCGTCGCGTACAAGCCGGAGGACACGCCGGTCGACCTGGCAAGCTTCGGCGCCAAGGTGCACGCGGCGTACGACGAGGTGATTGGCGGTTCGCCATTGGAGGGGCTCAAGGTGATGATGGAGAACGGCCGCTGCATGACCGGCCCGTTCGGCGTGCTGGTGACCAAGGCCATCCACACCAAGCACACCTACCGCGATTACCTGGGCGTGGACGCGTCGATGGCCAACTTGATGCGGCCCGGCATGTACGGCTCGTACCACCACATCACGGTGCTGGGCAAGTCGGACCAGCCGCCGGTGGGCGAGTTCGACGTGGTCGGCTCGCTGTGCGAGAACAACGACAAGTTCGCCGTGCAGCGGCCGCTGCCAAATGTCGAGATGGGCGACTACCTCGCTATCCACGACGCCGGCGCCCACGGCCACTCGATGGGCTTCAACTACAACGGCAAGCTCCGCAGCCCCGAGTACCTGCTGAAGGAAGACGGCACGCTGCAGATGATCCGGCGGGGAGAGACGCTGGCCGACTTGTTCGCGACGCTAGAGTTCTGAGAGGGTCTACTAGCGCCGCCAAAATGCATCTCGAACACATCCGGAAGAATCTCGAGAAGCGTCGAGAGCGCGATGGGCTGCATGCGACGCTGAACCCAGCAGCGACGGACGACGCCGTTGGCGAAGCAAAACGGTGAAATCGAGTCACCTTTCCCGATTAGGTTAGGGCGTTCTACGTGTGCATCAATGGACTGCGTGTAAGTGACCCGCCATTCGAAGTGCTGCCGGTTGAGTCACTGAATCGAAACAATGATTCGCTGCTGCATTTGCCACGGCGGGCGACGTGAATCGTATCTGCTTCGATTGTATGGCGCTGAACGCCGCTGGTCAGTGGGACATCGTGTGTGGCACAACCGGCAGGCGGATTACGCTGACGATGGCTAGTTTCTGGTCAAACAAGATGTGGAAGTGGATCGACCGCAGGCTTGCCTTCTGGAGAGGTGAGGTCTGAGCATCAGCACATCCGCATCGGCAAATACCCCCGGTCGGCAACGCGATAATCTCCCAAGTGGCGCCCTCTTCTAGTTTCAGCTTCTCGGTCCACAGCCTCGCCGGGGATCTTGATCACCACGGTGGACGTGCCCGGGCCAACCGAGTAGTTCAACGCGTCCAGGGCGTCCTTGCCGCCCTGCCCCGTGTTGAGCTGGTAAGCCTGCTTGCCGATGGTGAACACCAACGGCCGCGTGTGGGCGTTGCCGCGCACCAGCCACGCGTAGGCCGGGGCTGCGGAGTTACGGGGAGTCGACCGTCACGCCGCGGTAGGTCATCTTGTCTCGCTTGGCGGTGAACCGCGAGGCGAGCTCGGGTATGTCGTCGCCGTGGCCGAGGATGATCACCACGTCGCCCGCCGACAGCTGCGTGCTGCTGGGCGGGTGCAGCGTGGTGGCTCCGTCGGCCGCGCGAACGCCGACGATCAGGAAGCCGTGGTTGCCGCGGAGCTCGATGTCCGCCAGCGACTTGTCGGCAATCGCGCTGTCGGGCGTGACCTGCAGCTCCTCGAACCGCAGGCCGATTCGGCCGAGTTCCTCGCCCATGTCGGACTGGCAGGTGAGCTGCTCGAGGATGTTCTCGGCTGTGGGGCGGATGATCATCTGGGCAAGCTTTTTGGCGCCAATCGCGGTGGGCAGCACGACCTTGTTGGCGCCGCACCCCAGCAGCTTCTTTTCGGTGCGAGGATTCTCACCGCGGGCGATGATGGTCAGCGTGGGGTTCATCTCCCTCGCCGTGATCGTCACAAACACGTTGTTGGCGTCCTGCGAGAGCACTGTCGCGAGCACGGTGGCGCGGTCGATCCCCGCCAACTGCAACACGAACTCCTCGGTGGCGTCGCCGCTCACAACCAGGAAGCCGCGGTCTTGAGCTTCCTGCAGCCGTTGGGGGTCGGCGTCGATCACGACAAACGGCTTGCCCTCTGCCTGGAGCTCTTGCGCAAGGATGGTCCCCACCCGCCCGGCGCCGCACAGGATGGTGTGGCCGGTAAGCTTCTGGATGTCCTTGGTCATTCGTCGCGCTCCTAAAGCTTTGTTCAATTCGCCGTCGATGAGCATCTGCATAAAGCCACCCACCGTGTAGATAACCGCGCCGTATCCCGCAATGATTACCAGGATTGTCAGGGCCCGCTCGGCGGGAGAATCAACCGGCTGGATCTCGCCGTACCCGACACCAAAGATGGTGATAATCACCATGTAGATCGAATCATCCAGCTCCCAGCCCGACGCCATATAGCCCACCACGGCGATCAGGCAGATGCTCAGGAAGAGCGTTAGGCCAGTGACGATCTTGCGGATTGGGCCAGACAGGGGCAGCGACCGTTCTGGTTCGGGCGGCGAGTTGAGCGGTACAGGTTCCACGCTTCGCCCTGGTTGGCTGCGTCACGAGACGCCGGCTGCCTAGACCTTGGGCTATGGCGCCTAAGTCCTAAGCGATGGAGTAGGAGTCCGCCGCCCCTTGCGGCGGTATGTCGAGGACGCGCGGGGCGTCGAAAACCCTTGTGACGAAACGTTTTGAGCTCACATGTGCCGCTCGATGGGTACTGCTGATAGCGGTTGTGGCGCCTAATTTGCATTTCGCGTGCCGGAGCTTAGGACTTGTTCCGAGGCTTCCACGTTTCCTGCTTGTAGTGGGGCGTTTCGCCCAGGCGGACCCAAGTTTCGAAGGAGACCTCTCTGACCGAATCCCAGCGGCCCAACCCGTTTCCGCGGGGCGTGGCCGCCGCGTCGCCCAAGGGGCGGCTATCCGATGAGCCCGGCGGCGCCGCGCAGTTGCGGAAACCTGCCGGAGTGTCGCCGGTATTGTGCGGCCGCCGCTGCCTCAGCCCCGGACCTAGCCGGCCGGGGCGTCGCGGCAGCCCCTGGAATTGAATGGCGGCATCGCTTATTCCTAAGGCTCACCGACGGCCGGCTGGGCAGGCGATGCCCACCTGCCAGCCCCAGCGCACCTGCTCAACGCCCACGCAAGCTAGTTCACCGGCGACCCCCCGGCCGCCCTCCCGCACTCCTCACACCACACCAGGAGACTCCAAGTGAGCACGACCTCAACCTCGACCGGTTCCAACACGCAGGCCAGCGGCGGTGGGCATGCTGGCAGCTCGACGCGTCAGTCGGCTATCTCTTCCGCCATCAACTACCGCTCTTCCGGCCCCCCGCTCGACTTCATCGGCACCCGCCCCGAGGACGTCTTTGGCGAGTGTGTGTTTGGCAAGTCGCAGATGAAGAAGCGGCTGCCGAAGGCCGTCTACCAGTCGTTGATGAAGACGATGGAAGCGGGCGAGAAGCTCGATGCGAGCGTCGCGGACGCCGTGGCTTCCGCCATGAAAGACTGGGCCGTCGAGAAGGGCGCCACGCACTACACGCACATCTTCTACCCGCTCACCGGCGGCACCGCCGAGAAGCACGACAGTTTCATGTCGCCCACCGGCGACGGCGCCACGCTCGCCGCGTTCAGCGGCAAGGAACTAATCCAGGGCGAGCCGGACGGGTCCAGCTTCCCGTCGGGCGGCATCCGCCAGACCCACCAGGCCCGCGGCTACACGATCTGGGACGTCACCAGCCCGGCCTACATTGTCGAGAACACCAACGGCACCACGCTGTGCATCCCCACGTGCTTCGTCTCGTGGACCGGCGAGGCGCTCGACAAGAAGACCCCCGTGCTGCGGAGCATGCAGGCCCTGGACGCCCAGGCGCACCGCATCACCAAGCTGTTCGGGCACGACGCCAAGGCGTTTGTCGCCTCGACGGCCGGTCCGGAGCAGGAGTACTTTCTGATCGACAAGGGCTTCTACTACGCCCGGCCCGACCTGCTGAACACCGGCCGCACGCTGTTCGGCGCCGCCCCCCCCAAGGGCCAGGAGTTTGACGACCACTACTTCGGCGCCATCCCGGAGCGGGTGCTGGCGTTCATGAACGAGGCCGAGCGCGAGCTCTTCCGCCTCGGCGTGCCGGTCAAGACGCGGCACAACGAAGTGGCGCCCGGCCAGTTTGAACTCGCCCCCATGTTCGAGACCGCCAACCTGGCGACCGACCACCAGCAGCTCATCATGCAGGTGTTCAAGAAGGTCTCGAAGAAGTACGACCTCGAGTGCCTGATGCACGAGAAGCCGTTCAAGGGCGTCAACGGAAGCGGCAAGCACGTGAACTGGTCGCTGGGCTCGAGCGAGCACGGCAACCTGCTCGACCCGGGCGACACGCCGCACGAGAACGCCCAGTTCCTGGTGTTCTGCTCGGCCGTCATCCGCGCCGTGCACAAGTACCAGGGCCTGCTGCGGGTGGTTGTGGCTTCGGCCAGCAACGACCACCGGCTCGGCGCCAACGAGGCCCCGCCGGCGATCATCTCGATCTTCCTCGGCGACCAGCTGGCAAACGTCTTCGAGCAGATCAAGGCCGGCGGCGCCAGCTCCTCGATCCCGAAGGGGACACTCGAGGTTGGCGTCGACACGATGCCGCCGCTCGCCAAGGACGCCGGCGACCGCAACCGCACCAGCCCGTTCGCCTTCACCGGCAACCGGTTCGAGTTCCGCGCGGTTGGCTCCAGCATGTCGATTGCCGGGCCGCTCGTCGCGATGAACACCATCATCGCCGAGTCGCTCGACTACTGCGCCACCAAGCTTGAGAAGGCGACCGCCGGTGACCCGGACAAGCTGCACAGCGCCGTGCAGACGCTGATCTCCGAGATCCTTGAGGAGAACGGTGCGATCCTCTTCGACGGCGACGGCTACTCGGAAGAGTGGCACATCGAGGCCGAGAAGCGGGGCCTGAAGAACCTCCGCACCACGGCAGACGCCCTGCCCGAGCTGCTGACTGATGAGGTCAAGAGCCTGTTCTCCAAGTACAACGTGCTCAGCGAGCGCGAGCTGGAGAGCCGCTACGAGACCTACTGCGAGCAGTACTGCATGACGGTCAATGTCGAGTCGAACCTGACCAAGCATATCGCTCGCAAGATGATCTTCCCGGCCGCGATCCGGTACCAGAACGAGCTGGCCGCTACGTGCGCCAACTTGAAGGCCCTGGGGTACGACTTCGACACCAAGACGCTCGATCGCATCACCGCGTTGGTCAAGGACCTGCAGGACGCGATCAACGAGCTGGCGGCCGCCACCCAGGAGGGCTGCGAGGACGTCCGCCTGGCGTGCGACAGCGTGCTGCCCGCCATGGAGAAGGTCCGGTCCGCCGCCGACGCCCTCGAGGGTCTGGTGGCCGACGACCTGTGGCCGCTGCCGACCTACCAGGAGATGCTGTTTATCAAGTAACTCAGCCCAGCTGAGTGAATCTGCCCGCCTTCCGGTCGGGCGGCGGTCGCCACCAGCGCGGCCCGTCGCCCGGCCGGTTTTTTTATTGGGCCGGCCGGTTTTTTATTGGGTTCTTCGAGTCGCCGTGTGCGCCCGCCGGGATGGGCGGGCGTTCGGCAGGATCCGGTCGACCTGCACGAACCGCCCATCACTATCCGCGGCCCGCACAATCGGCTCGCTCCGGCTCAACCTGATTGAGTGCGGCTCACCCCGGGACGTATACTAGATCGCCGCGACGCAGCGCGCACGCCCCAACCGTCGCGGGGCCGCATCGCGGGCCCCGACGCGGAGCCGCGTCGACGCCGTCCGCAGGCAGATTCTCACAACGCATCCGGAAAATCTTATCATGAGCCCTACCAAGCTAATTACGATCGTTTCCGTCTCGCTGGTCGCTGTGCTGTGCCTGATTTGGGAGGGCGCGGCTCAAGACGCCTCTTCGGCGGGTTCGCAGCCGGCTGCCTCAGCGGCCCCCAAGCACATGGACGCGGAAACCGCCAAGGTGTGGAACAGCCCGCAGATGCTGCACGCGCGGAAGTGGTTGGACGACTACCTCCGGGTTTCGGCTCAGATCAGCCCCAAAGAGGGCGCCGAGTACAAGAAGGAATTGGAGCAGCTCAGCGCGTCGCAGATGAAGCTGTGGCTGTTGAAGTTTGATCACGAGCGGCAGATGCAGCAGCAACAGCAGCAGGCGTGGCATCAGGCGCACCAGGCGTCGCTGCAGCACGCCATGGCGTACCAGAGGGCCACGCAGCAGGCGTTGACCAGCGTGAGCCAGGGCGAGACCGCGGCCGCCCAACAGGGCGAGAAGCAGCTGGAGGCCGAAGAGCGGCAGGCCGCCGAAATGCAACAGTCCAAGCTCGATGACCTGAACGCGCCGCCCACCTTGGGGGGGAACTGGTTCAGCCCGCTTGGCTCTCCTTACTACGGCGGCTACGGCGGGGTGCACTACCATGTGCACCTGTACCCAGAAAACGAATAACGGCTGCTAGCCGTCAACGATTGGGCGGCGGCTGCAGGCGCCTATCCCGCACGGCGTGGTCGCAATCCCGGAACAGTTCCTGGCACGCGGCCCGCTCGACGTGCGGCAACAGCGCGCACTGGGGCTCGCGGAGTGTCCGCGCTGCCAGCTCAGCGGGCGTCAGGTCAGACGCCTGGGGCCAGTACTGGTTGGCGTCCTGCATGGTGGACGCACCGTACACCACCGCGTCGAGCTCGGCCCACAAGCAGGCCGACATGCACATTGGGCAGGGCTCGCACGTGCTGTAGAGGATATGCCCAGCGAGGGTCAATCGTTGCAGCTTGCGCGTAGCCAAGCGAATGGCGTTCACCTCGGCGTGGTTTGTGGGGTCACACTCGGCGATGACGGTGTCAAACGCCTGGGCCACCAACTCCCCGCTGCCGAGGTGGTAGATCGCCGATCCGAACGGCGACGGGTGCTCGGTCTCGAGCGACGTTCGCGTGAACGCGACGAGGCCCTTCATCCGAGATTGGTTCGTGTGGTCGTCCGGCAAAGGCATCGGGGCTCCCCTGCTCGCGGAGTGGCTGACCGCTAGCACGCGGCGAATGGAATTCAGCGCTGCGGCGCCGCCAGCGGCTCGCCGACCGTTGGCCAGCCTTCCGTGGTCCAGTCCAGCGGCCGCACCTGCAGGATCCGCTGCGCGTCGAGGTTCTCCACGTCGTAGGTGTGGTGCACCATCCACTGGCCCTTGTCCGTAGTGATCACTCCGTTGTGCCCGGGGCCGCGCCACCGCTCGCTATTCTCCAGCACCAGTGTGCCGCCGCCGTCGAGCATTAATTTGCCGTCGGCGTCAGCGTAGGGGCCTGTCGGCTTGCGGCTGCGTCCTACCATCACCTTGTAGGTGCTCGCGGCGCCGTCACAGCAACCGTCCCACGACACAAATTGGTAGTAGTAGCCGTCGTGGAAGAGAACAAACGGCGCCTCGATGGCGTGGGAGGTCGTGTCGGGGCGGGCCGCCACGGGAAAAATCTTGGCGCCGTCTCGCGGCTTGCCCGTCGAAGGATCGACCGCCACCGCCTTCAACCCCGACCAGTGCGACCCCCAGAACAACCACCATTTGCCCTCCTCGTCCACCAGCAGCGCGGGGTCGATGGCGTTGAAGTCGGTGTCCGCGGCGTCGGACGCGATCACCTGGCCGCGGTCCTCCCAGCGGTAATCGGGGCTTTCGCGGTCGAGTGACTTGTTGACGGCCAGGCCGATCACCGAGTGCTGGCTGCCAAACGTCGACACGCTGTAGTACAGGTAGTACAGCCCGTTATGGTAGCTGAGGTCGGGCGCCCAGATGCCCTGGGCGCCCGGCACGGCCCGGGAGGCCCAATCGGGCACACGCTTGTCGAATACCCGACCGGCCTGCGTCCAGTGCTTCAGATCCGTGCTGCGGAGCAGCTTCACGCCCTGCCCTGTCGCGGCGACGTAGTAGACGGTCTCGCCGGCGGCGTTGGTGGTCGCCACGCCGGTCGGATCGGGCGCGCCGTTCAGCAGGCCCTGGCGGGCGCCGGTGTCGGATTGGGCGGAGGCCGCCGTGGCGGCCAAGCAGATCGGCAGCACCGCCGTGGCTCGAACCGAGGCGAACAACGTGGCGACGCGGGGCAGAGTCCTCATGGCGGCGGGCACCTTGAAGGCGTATGTGCGGTGTGGATCAGAGCGATCAGTTATACCACAGCCAGTCTGGGGAGAAGGCCGGCGTGCTGTCGTTTTGCGGTCCAATCAGGATGAGGGAAAAACGCCCGCGTGGCGACTAGCACTGCAATCGACGTGACGCCAGTTTGACGGGCCGCCGCAGCCCTTCTACACTCGCGTGCTGCGTCGGGACGAATGAGCCAACTCACTTCAGGCGAAGGATTGGTTGAATGAGCGGATTCCGAAGGCGATCAGCGCGGCCTGCGCGCCGAGCCGCTGGCAGGCGACCTATCTTGAATGGGTTCACGCTAATCGAGCTGCTGGTGGTGATCGGGATTATCGCCCTCTTGCTACAGCTCCTGTTGCCCGCGGTGCAGGCCGCCCGCGAAGCGGCCCGGCGGGCGAGCTGCAAGAACCACCTCCGCCAGCTCGGCATCGCGTCCCAGCTGCACGTCGACACGCACCAGTTCTACCCGTCGGGTGGGTGGTCCGGCGATTTCGTGGCCGACGCCGAACGAGGCTACGGCAAGAAGCAGCCCGGCGGCTGGCCCTTCAGCCTGCTCTCGTACGTCGAGCTTGGGACGCTCCGCGAGGGCGCCGCCGACGAGGACGTTTCCGCCGATCCAATCGAGCCCGGCTACCTGGCGCTCTTGCGGAGCTCGCCCGGCGTGCTGTACTGCCCAAGCCGGCGGGCGGCCTCGCCTTACCCTTACAAGAACTCTGGCAACGCACCGTGGACGCCGACCACCGGGCGCGGGATCACCAAGTTCGACACGGTTACCAAGACCGATTACGCCGCGAACAGCGGCGACTCGCTGTACAGCGCCGCCGAGGCGTTTATCGGCGAACCAGACATGTGGGTCCCGGATAGCTACGCGTCCCTCCAAGGATCAACGACCCACTGGACCCGCACTTCCGATCCCCAGACCGTCTACTACCAGACCGGCGTGAGCTACTACCGCAGCGAGGTCACGCCCGCGATGCTCACCGACGGCGCCAGCAAGACGTACCTGTTCGGCGAGAAATTCTTGTCGCCCAGCGTGTACCTGGACGTCAACGCGCAGGACGGCGTGAAGATGATGGGCGACAATCAAACCGCGTGGGCCGGGTACGAGTGGGACAACCACCGCGTCGCCTGGAACCCGCAGTCCCGCTGGTCGCAGGGAGACTACCAGCCGCAGCTCGACAGCGACGACGTCCACTTCCCCAATATCTACTCCTTTGGCGGCCCCCACCCGGCCGCCATGCACATGGTGTTTTGCGACGGCTCGGTCCGATCCTTGTCCTACGCCATCACGCCCGAGGCGCACCGCGCGATGGCCAACCGGCTGGATGGCGAGGTGGTTCACGGCGTGGCCGAGTAACGCGTCCGCGGTCATCCCCACACGTCCCCACCGAAGTGACTCGCCCGCGACATGGACAAGAAGAAGATCCTCACTGCCGCCGCGGCGGCGGGGCTGCTCGTCGTCAACGTGGTGGTCTGGCGGGTGCTAAACCGCGAGCCGCCCCAGCCGCCCGACAGCCGCGAAACGATCCGCAACCAATTGACCAACGACTGGAGCGACGGTGCAAGCGTGCCGTTGGAGCAGGCCGCCGACAGTCTCCGGAAGAACGCCCCTGCCGCCCCCAGAGCGGACGACCTGCTGCGGCTGCAAGAGCAAGGCGTGGTGAGCTTTCAGACGCTCTCCGACGACAGCCGCAAGGACCTGCTCAGCGCGGTCGGCGGGCTGATCGAGGCCTTGGGCGCCGACAGCCCCAGCCGACTGCTGGCTTACATGTCGACCCGCGGTCTTGCACCGAGCGGGCCGCGTGTCGACGAGTTGGCAAAGCAAATCCCTCCCTCCGCCTCCTCGCCGCCGGGGGCGGGGCGGACCAAAGGGCAGCTGCGGGCGATGTGGGACGGCTCCCAGGCGGCGCGGTGGACCGGCCTGATCGAGGACGGCTCGTGGATCCACGTTTGGCGGCCTTCGTCCGTCAGCCACCTTTCGCTGACAAAACTCGGTCGAACCGAGTCGTGGGTCTGGGGCAACGAGGCCCTGCAGCGGTCGGTCTTCGAGGCGCGGCCAACGTACGAGGCCGCCAACCGCAGCCAACCGACCCTGCTGGCGGACATTCGGGTGGTCATCGAGCACGACGAGACCCTGCGCCGAGAACGCAGCCCCTACTTCTTCCGGTTCTGGTTGCCGGAGGGCGAGCAGCAGTGGCGGCCCGCCTTCGTTAAGCACATCACTACGAACAAGGAAGATGGCCCCGCACCGCCGCTGGTCTTTTGACGAGGGCCCGACCGGCTACTCTGCTCACTGGTAGTGCTTGTGTGACCCATCGCAGCCCGGCGGCCGCTTGGTGTGACCGCACGTGCAGTCATGGATCCCCTTGCCGGCGAGGATCTGCGGCGCGTATTTGTCCACGCGTGCAGCGCGGGTGCTCGACTGCTTCGCGCCCGCAAAGTGCAACAGGTAGGCCCGCTGCCGACCGGGCGATAGCGACTCGAAGGCCTCTCGCAAGGCGGGGTTCTGGTCGAGCTTGTTCTCGAACTCTGCGGGCATGGCGACTTCGCGGTCCTGAGCGAAATCTACCTGGCGTCCTTCCTGCTCTACACGAACGGCTTCACGCAGGTAGGCCTTCAGCACTGCTTCTTGTGCAAGGATCTCGCCAACGTCGGTGAAGCGGACCACCCGCGCCGCCCGGGTGTTCTCGCCCGGTTTGCGAAGGATTCCTTTGGGGTCTTGGAGCAGGGCCCCCTTAAAGAAGCTGAGCGTGCAGTCGGTCTTGAACTCCCCCAGCAGAGCGATGTTCTTGTTGCTGTGCGTGTAGCAGGGTTGGCCCCACTTCAGGTGCTCGGTGAGTTGGCAGGCGAGTGCAATCCTTCGCAGCGCGGCCAGCTCGTCCCGCCACTGCTGGAGGGCGGCGAAGTAGTCGTCAACTTGTGGGTTGGTTTTGGGCATGGGAAGGGACGGGGGAATCGGTCGTTTGCCGAGCGGGCTCGACGGCCCATTTTAGAGCAGGCCTGACGATCGTTCGAGCCGCTCTGGGGAACTCTCCGCGCTCACCCCGCTCGGGGAGGTTCGCGACTCGGCCGGCAGCACGGCCGCCGCGCGGAGGTCGGCGAACCGCCTGTAGTGGGTGACCTCGGCGCCGCGGTTGCGAGCAGCGAGCCCATGCCCCAAGAGCGCAATTCCGCCACTGAATTTCGTTGTAGAAAACAGCCACCCAGCGTGTTCCAATGGAGAGCCAGCATGATCCAAGGGAGAGATAGATCTTGTGATGGGTATGCGTCGATGGGTTCGGTAGGCAGACCATGGGGGGAAGAGTTTTGTCCCCGTCGGCGCGCCGGATTGGACAAAACCAGCCGTGAGTAGAAGGAGGTGATTGTCGCAAGTCCTAACGCCAAAGCGACTTGCGGAAAGGACGGCCCGCGGTGGGAGCCGAGTTTTGTCGCTAAGGTTGCGTAGCGCTAGAGGGGACAAAACCTGGCACAAGAGCGCGGCGCTAGAGGTGAGGAACGACTACGGCTTCTTGGGCGGCGTGAAGCGGATCTTTTCCACCAGGGTGTGGGTGTCGTTGTTCTCGCGGTAGCCAGAGATAGCGGTAATGGCGCGGATGGTGTAGTCGTAACGCAGGTTGTAGTCGGCGTCGATCTCGACCTCCGGCTCGTCGCCCGCGCCGGGGCCGCCGTCGTCCTGGATCAGGGTCCGCAGGTACTGGTGTAGCTGGGCGAACGCCTCGGGCCCGTTGCCAAACGACTTCTCGCCGAGGCTGACGGACTGCAGGCTGCCGTCGTCGTTGGACGCCAGGCGGAGCCGCAGGGTGGGCGTCTCGAGCGGCTGGGGCTGCGTGTCCTCGCTGGGCAGCGGCATCCGGATGTTGAAGTCGCCTTCGGGCAGCACAATCTTGAAGGTCATGATGAAGAACACCAGCAGCAGGAACACGATGTCGATCATCGGGGTCATCTGCAGCTCGATCTTGTCGCGGTGGTCCGCGTGGCGGATCTTCATCGGGGGCGTGGTTGGCGGTTGGCGGTTGTGGTTGGCGTCTTTTGTGGCCCCTCGCCACAAACCACCAGCCACTTATTTACTCACTCACGCATGATCAGGGTGTCTTCGCTGCTGGTCTTGCCGCGGAGGGCGAAGGTCTCGAATTCCGCCTCCTGGCAAGCGCTGATGGCGTCCTGAACCACGCCGGTGCGGACGGTCGCGTCGGCGCGGATAATGATCGTCACGTCCGAAAGCTGCTTCTCGTACGCCCGGATGATCGACGCCTCGCGGCGGAGGGCCGGCAGCAGCGCGTCGGGCTCCAGCTCGTCGCGGGCGAAGAGGATGGTCTCATCCTTAGTGATCTGCACGGTCAGCGGCTCGTCGTACGGTTGGTCGGGCGGCTGGGCCAGCTCGCTGGCCGGCAGTGTGATCCGCTGGTCCTGCTCGACCTCGGTGAAGTTGATCAGCACCATGAAAAACGCGATCAACTGGAACGTCATATCGATCATGGGCGTGAGGTCGCCCTCGGACGCTTCGAGCTGTCGGCGGTGCTTGAATTTCATGACGGTCGGGCGTCAGGTGGTCGTTGGAAGTGAGAAGTCAGTCATCGCGGCAAGGCCGAGTCAAACCCAAAAGGATTCTTTCCAGCGGACGGCAGATGGGTTCCCGTTGACTTGACGCCTCGCTGTAGCAGGATCGAATCATCTCGTTGGTGGTGTTGCAGCCATGCCCCCCAGCAAAGTTCGCTGGAATCGACACTCCGGCGCGCCGTCATTGCAACAGCAGTCCGTTACGCTCCTCATCAGGGAGGGTGGTGGTTGCTCGCTAAATCAGCGTCTGCCAACGCGCTACAATCCGCTACTCGACCTTCTTGCCGCCACCGACGTTTTGGAAGCGGCTCATCAGGCCTTCGCTGACGATGCCGACTTCCAGCACCAGGCGGGCGACGCGGTTGCGGAGGATGTTGTAAGCAGCGATCGCGGGGATGGCGATCATCAGGCCGGCCAGGGTGGTAAACAGCGCGGTCGAGATGTCGCCGGCCAGTTCGCTTGGCTTGGGGGCGCCGGTCGTGGTGGTGGCGATCGTTTGGAACGCGCTGATCATGCCTTGCACCGTGCCCATCAAGCCGATCATCGGGCTGATGGTGCCGATCAGGGCCATGTAGCTGAGGCGGTGCTCGAGCTTCATGTTCTCTTCCTCGCCCACCTCCTGCATCGCCTCGATGGCTTGGGGGTAACCGAGTCCGCCGGAGAGCTTGCCCAGCCCCGCCGACAGCACCTTGCCGAGGAACGATTCGTCGGCGTTGGCCAGCTCGTAGGCCTCGGTGTACTGTTTGGCGTTGAGGTGTTCTTCGAAGCTCTCGGTCAGCTCGGCCGGCACGACGTTGCTGCGGCTGGCCTGCAGCAGGTTCATAACGAACAACGCGACCAGCGTGAACGAGAGCGCCAGGAAGACGATGCTGTAGCCCCAACCGAGCGAGGTCGCCACCCAGGTCAGGTAGTTCATCTGCTCGATCGGCGCCGCATCGGCGGCGCCGTCACCCCCCTGGGCCAGCGCAACGCCGGGCGTGGCGAGCACGCCAATCGAGAGGCCGCCGCAAACGAGCAGAGACAATGAAAGAAAGCCCGCCGGGCCGCGTTGGCCCAGCGGTCCGAGTAGTGACCGCATCTGGTGCTCCTGTCGCTGACGCGCCAAGGTATCTGTTCCGAAGAGTTTTTAGTCTAGTCACGCCGCGGCCCGCCCGCAAAGCCCGCCGACCGCATCCCACGCGGGACGGTGGGGGTGGGGCGCCAAGCCGTAGGAATTAGGGGGGTGGGGGGAATCAGGCCGCATGGCGTCACGGCGCCAGGCGCTTGGCCCAGTCGCTCGACGCGTACTCGGACTTGAGCGCCTGACGCGCCTCGCGGGCCTTGGACGACTGGCCGATGGCGTCCCACAGCTCGCCGAGGTGATAAAGCGCCTCGGCGTGCGCGGCGGGCTGGGCGTCGTACAGCAAGTCGACGTGCAGGTAGGCGAACAGGGCCTCCTTGGTGCGGTTGGCCTCAAGATAGCAGCCGCCCAAAGCGTTGTAGGCGTCGGCGTGCAACTGTTGTTCCTCGGGGTCGGCCTCGGCGATAACCGACTGGACAAGCTCAACGCCCTCGTCGACCTTGCCGGTGGCGCCAAGGCTGACCGCCTTGCCGAGCTTGGCGGCCAACAGCTGAGGCTTGTCGTCGGGCGTGTCGCCCGCCATCGCCTCGGCCTGCGTGAACCGCTGGATGGCCTGGTCGTGCTCGCCGGCGGCCTGCAGCGTCTTGCCGACGAGCACCGCCGAGCGGACCTTGTACGCGGGCAGGCGGCTCTTGGCGAGCAGCTCGTACTTCGTGATTGCAGCGGCGTTGTTCCCGAGCGCGACGAGCATGTCGCCGAGCAGCTCGTTCGCTTCAAGAAAGTGGAAGCTCTGCCGGTTGGCGTTCACAAAACTATTGAGTTCGGTGCCGGCGTCGGTCACGGAGCCCTCGCCCATCAGCGCCTGCTTGGCTTTGCAGTACGCCGTGTAGAAGGCGATCTCTTGCTTGACCTCGTCCCGCTTGACGGCGGCGCGGTCGACCTCGCCCAGGCTCTGTAACGCCTTGGCGTAGGCGCCGCTGAGCGCGTTCACCCGCGCCTTGGTGAGCTCGGAGGGCTCACCGCCAAACTGGATGCTGCGGATCGCGGCGACGGAGATCGGCGTCTCGCGGCCGCCGCGTTCCAGCTTGATCCCCAGGGGGCCAACCTCGGTCACCTCGCCGGTCTTCGTCCCGGAGGTGGTTTTAACGCGGTCGGTCTGCGCGGGCGCTGACTGGGCGAGCACGAAAACGATCGTGACCGCGACAAGATGTCTGATTTGGAAGTGCTGCATGGCGTCGGCTAGGCGTTGGCGCCGGTCGGGCGGGGTTCAGGTGTCGTAAGAAGAGCGGTGGTGAATTCGGCCAGGCCAACAGGCTTCTCGCCCTGGGCCCGTTGGATCTTCTTGAGCAGGGTGTCGAACTGGTTACGCATCTCGGCGCCGCCGAGGTCGGAATACTGCCGCGACAAGAGCAAGATGGTTTTCCGGGCGCTCGCCAGTTGTTTTGACTTCTTTTCGCCTGAGGCCTTCATCCCGGCCAGGTAGCGGCTGGTCGCGACATTCAGCCACGATTCGAAGAACAGGGCCCGGTACTCCGGCTTGCTCCGCGCCACCTTGCCGCTGACGCTGGCCAGCTTGCTCCAGCCCCAGATCAGGTTCTTGCCGGTATTCGGCGACTTGCTGGCGCCGGCGATCGACTCCTGCAGGTGCTGGGCGTCACCGGTGTCGCCCCACTCTTGCAGCGTGTAGGCGGCGAGCTTCTGCACGTCGAGCATCATCTCACGTTCAGCCAACAGGCCGGCAAAGACTTCGATCGCCTTGTCGTACTGCCCGAGCCCTCGCAGCGCCGCCCCCAGCTGCATCCGGACCGCCAGACCCGAGTTGGGGCTGGGCGCCGATGACGGGTCGGTGGCGGCGCGGTCGGCCAACGCCTGGAATCCGTCCCTGGCGCGTTCGAAGAACTCCTGGCGGTGTTCGGTGTCGCCTTCGTCGAGGCCCTGCCCCAGCTTCAAGTAGGTTTGGGCCATCCACTGCTGCATGGTCCAGTCGGCGTCGTCGCCGGCGTCGCCGATGCGGGAGACGAATTCCGCGAAGGCGCTGCTGACTCGCTGCGCGTCGGCGGTCTTGCCGGCCTGGTTGAGCTGTTCGATCTGACGCTGTAGCTGCACGCCCAGCCCGAAGTAGATCCGTGTCAAAGCGGCCTTGTCTTGTACCGCCGACTCGAGGGTCTCCATCATTGCCAACGCGTCGGCGGTGCGGGGCGGCGTGATCGAAAGGTAGGCCTGCAGCGCGGTGCGATAGGACTCGGCCTTCAAACCGGCGTTGTCGGTGATCGCCGGTGCGTCCTGCTGGGCAAGCGTCAGCGGCCCGAGCTTCGGGTCCTCCAGCAGCTTGGCGGCGGCGTCGGCGTGCCCCTCAGAGAGCTTGGCCTGAGCGAGGAACAGTGCGCCGGTTGCGGACGTGGCGTTCACGATCCCTCGTTCGCGGACCGCCTGGTAGGCGGACTCGAGTTCGTTGATCGCTTGCGAACGCTCACCCGGGGTCGCGGTAGAGTCGCCGTTGCGGGCGATCTGCTCCCAGTTCGCCAGGGCAAGCCTCAGCTCGAGCGGCGCCCGACGTTCCGGATCAACGCCTTCCAGCACACGGCGGGCGTCTTCCAGTCGGTTGTCACGGATGGCGGTCGCCAGCAGGACGCTGAACGCCGAGTCGGCTAGCGGCTCGCCGGCCCAGCGGCGGGTGATAAACTCGCTCAGGCGGACCAGGTGGTCGCTGGCGAAGTCGGTTGGCTCACCCGCTTGTTCGGCTTCAATCCGCAGCTTCTCAAACGAGGCCATCGCCAGCTTTGCGGCGCCCTCCGCCGCCGGGTCGTCCGGGTGTTTGGTTGCAAGAAACTCCGCCAACGCCGCGCTGCTCAGGTAGTCACCCGATTCCCAATATAGGTAGCTGAGCTTGTTGCGGGCGTCATTCAGGCGGGTGAGCGGCGTCTCGGAGTCGGCGAGCCGCAATGCCTGTCGGAACGCGTCGAGGGCCCGCGCGTTGTGCTGCTGCTTGGACGATTCGCTGGCGTCGACGTCATGCCCCGCCTTGGCCGCGAGCTGCGAGGCAAAAACCGCGTTGAGGGCGTCGATCCCAACCTGGTACGCCTCTTGGAAAGTAGCGGCTTCGAGCTGTGAGGCGCCGAGCTCGTCATTCAGCGACGCCAACCTCAGGCGTGCGTCGGACTGGTTCTCATTGAACCCGCGAGACGCGGCCGTGAAGTACGACCGGGCCTGGTTGAGGAGCTCACGCGACTCGCCCTGGTCGTCGGTGGTCCCGGCGGCGAGCAGCGCTGCTTCCCCTAACTGGTGCTTTAGCGACAAGACTTCCGGCTGCGACTGCTCTTTGCGCGTAACGTCCTCCAGCCACTCGGCGCCGCGCTGGAGCGCCTCGTCTGGTTTCTCTTGGGCGACCAAACCGGCCACTAGGCTTGCTTGCGCCATTCGCACCAATCGGCTGAGGCTGGGGTCGTCGGTTGGAAGTGAGGCCACGACCTCAAAGCAGCCGTCGGCGAGCCGGTGTTCGCCGAGCGCCTGATAGCACCGACCCTCGTACAGGTGGGCGTAGAAGCCGATGCCGGCGGACTGCGGGGTGTCGTACTTCTCGTACAGCGATGCGAACTCCTTGGCGGCGTTTTCGAGAGTCTGCTTCCGTTCGGCCGAGCCCTGTTGATAAGTCTCTGCCAACTCAGACAGCGCTCTGGCGTTGGCCAGTCTGGCCTGCGCCAGTTCAAAGCGAAGTTGCAACCGCTGCTTTGCCTCGGGGCTGCCCGGCTGGACCGACTTGAACGCGTCGAGCGCCTGCTGGTAGAGCTCCTCCGATTGGGTCAGGTACTGCCGCGCGTCCTGAATGTCACGGCGCGCCTGCTCGGCCTCCGTTTGCTGCGTACCTTCGGACTGCCGCTCCGCGGCCTGCACGCGGCGGCCGGCGCCGTTGACG